CCACAGCACTTGAATATAGTTCCCACATTTTTTTAAAGAATGCATTTATATGTATGTATGTATACATATATATATCTTTTTTTAAAAATTGGTTTCAGAGAGGAAGGTAGAGGGAGGGATAGAAACATCAATGATGAGAGAGAGACATTGATCAGCTGCCTCCTGCATGCCCTCTATTGGGAATTGAGCCTGCAACAGTGGTATGTGCCCTGACCAGGAATTGAACCAGTGACCTCCTGGTTCATAGGTTGCACTCAACCACCAAGCCACACTGACAAGGCTATAGTTCCCACATTGAATGAGAATGTTTAATAATAACTACTATTTAGAGAGTGTTTCTGATGTGAGACACAGAGGCAAACTCAGTTTTGCCCTATACTCCTCACTGGATCCTCATACAACATGTTAAGGTGGGTGCGGATACCTGGGCTCATGAAGGTGAAAACATTTCCCAAACTCACATGGTTAGCCAAGTGGGGGAAAAAAAGCTAGAACCCAGGACTGTTCAACTCTTACCTTTCAGGCACAGGGCCTCCCTAGATGATGTATAAAAACCGCTACTGCCTCACAGTATTAATTTCTTCACTTGATGACCCCGTAAACAAAGTGCTAAAAGCAGAAAACACCCTTCTAAAAGAAAATTTACATACTCAAGAAACTAACAGTGCAAGGCAGGCCAGTCTTATTTACTGCTGAAAACTCTGACCATCTGGAAAAATAAAGCTGTTCTGAGCACATTTGTGCTGATGAGTACAACTGGCACACACTCCTGTGCAGCGCCCAGCCCAGCGCCAGTCATGAAAATGAAACTCGGGAATGAGCCGTTACACAACCTGTCCCAGCATCTGGCTGATGGACACCTTTTGCAGACATCCCAGGCCAAGTGCTGCGGAAACAGATGATACATACACCCAAAGGAGGCAGTTCCAGGGAAGTGTAATAAAAGGGGCTGTGTGCAAAAAAGTGTGTGTGTGTGTGTGTGTGTGTGTGTGTGTGTGTGCCGGGTGCAGAGAAATGACAGGGAGATGCAGTACCCAAGGGGACCAGTAGGGAGTGCTGTTGTCACAGATGGGCCTGAAGGATTCAGGGACAGAGAGGGTGGCTCAGAGCACCCCACAGAAGCTAAGCTGGGACCTTAGGTCTGGGGACACTGCCCACTATGACTCTACAGACAGGGAGCCTGGGAGATAAATATCTCATCTTTATTCATCTCCCTCCCTCTGTTCTTTTGCTGATGCCGCATTGGCTGAACCCAACCAAAAGCCAAGTGACAAGGAGGTCGCTGATATAACCCCTGTATCACTGGAACGGGGAAAGTGGGCCTAGCAAGGCAAGTGGAAATCACCCCGCACCTCCAACACCCCCCTTTCCTCTCCACCAGCTTATTTTTCTCCTCTGCTCATTCTCTGCTGCAGACCCTTCCATTGCTGCCCCTGACACTTGTACCTGCCCCTGCCTCAGGGGAGGGGGGGGGGATGAGAGGTGCCTGCGGTACTCTCCAATGATGCTCTCCACAATTATCAGCCCAAAATCCACCAAGACTGGAGGCATCGTGTAAAACCATCATATGCACCTCCCTCAACTGTATACCCACAAGCACACACCACCTGGCAGCATGTTCCTCAGGAAAAATGACCATCCCTGTCTGTACTCTTAAAGCACAAATTCCGTGGCTCTATTGGTAAGTGTAGGTTTCCATCTGCAAGGAGGATGAACCTTGAGAAGAACATAAGGCAAACTGAACACATTCCCTCTCGGGTCCCCAAAGCCCACTCCTTCCCCAAGCTCCCAAACTTCTCTCTCTTTTTATTAAATGTTTGTTTTTATTGTTTTAATATATATATATTTATTGATTTCAGAGAGAAAAGGAGAGGGAGAGAGAGAGAGAGAAACATCAATGATGAGAGAATCATCGATCGGCTGCCTCCTGCGCGCCCCCTACTGGGGATCGAGCCCGAAACCTGGACATGTGCCCCCAACCAGGAATCCAACCATGACTTCCTGGTTCATAGGTTGGTGCTCAGCTGGTGAGTCACACTGGCTGGGCATGACTGGCTATTTTAATTCGTGAGAAGTCTACATGTGCCCTACTGGATTCGAAGCTGGGACCCTTCAGTTCGCAGGCGGACACTCTATCTACTGAGCCAAACCGGCTAGGGCTCAAGCTCCTCTTTTTAAAAGGGAATTAGAAAACCAGAAAGGAGTTCCTTGATGTCAGAGATGGCAACTACATCTTGGAAGGTGGAACGGGAGTGGATGAGCAGGAACTGACCTAGAAATGAAGAAACAGAATCTCGATGTATAGAAAGGGGATGTGGCCAAGGGTGGGTGCCCTGTGCCTCCCAGAGCCTGCAGGTGGAAGGCAGCAGGGCAGAAGGAGCTGTGTCAGAGCATCCCACCCCACAGGGCATGTAGTAGGCGCACAATAATATTTACCGAACGTCTGGACTCCAAGGCCTGCAGGCTGTGAATGAAATGACCAGATGCTTGGTTTGCTTGCTAAATATCACCAGAACTGCTAAACTTCAGTCCCCAAAGGAAATCCGAACAAACAGGAGACCATCCCCCTGTACGGGGACGAGGAGTGCTAGGAATACGACAAAACTCCTAAAAGCTGAATCAGGACTGGCTGACCAGGCGCTCCAAGACCTGGAGAGTGAGAGCAGGAGTCCCACGGACACCTGCAGGCGGAAAGCTGGGGTCCTCTCCTAGGGTCTGGAGCAGCAGCCGCAGGGGTGTATTAACGAACCCACAGAGGCTCTGAATAAAACCAAACCAGGCCCAAGCCAGTGGCCAAGGGCTGAAGGGCTGGATCTCTTGGCAACTGCAAATGCCCATAAGCTGAACCATCACCAACTGCTCCCAAGTGCCAGGCAGAGATGCAGGAAGAAAGAAAGCTCTGTGGAAAGAAAGGCCCTTCGAGGTTTATGACTCTGGTCGGGGTGACAGCCATCCAGCCGTCGTTACCCTCTGGGCACAATCTCCGAATCAGCAGCCAAAGCCCAAAACACCTTAGATTTTTCCTCCCTCAAGATCTTCGAGCAGGAATAGCAAAGTCAACCCTAATACTTCATAAAATCCCAAAGGAAAGGGGGCCCCAGAGGGAGAACCTCACATTAGTAAAGCACCTACTGTGTGCCCTGCCCCTTCCACTCCACCGTCCACACTGCAGCCACAGGGACTTCGTAAGACACAAATCTGGTCCCTCATTCTCCTGATTAAAACTCTCCAATAAGCCCTAACCGGTTTGGCTCAGTGGATAGAGCGTCTGCCTGCAGACTCAAGGGTCCCAGGTTCGATTCCGGTCAAGGGCATGTACCTTGGTTGCGGGCATATCCCCAGTGGGGAGTGTGCAGGAGGAAGCTGATTGATATTTCTCTCGCATTGATGTTCCTAATTTCTAACTCTCTATCCCTCTTCCTTCCTCTCTGTAAAAATTCAATAAAATATATATATTTTTTAAAAACTCTCCAATAAAAAAGAAGAAAGAAAACTCTCCAAAGGCTTTCCATTGTCCTTAGTCAAAGTCCATACTCCATTCCCAAGCAGGCAACATCCCTCCAAAGCTGGCCCAGCCCTCCCTCTGGCCTCCTCTCACCTCTCTTTTCTCCCCTCGGCCACTCCCATGCTCCCACTCCCAGCTCAGGCCACAATGAACAGACCGAATGTCCCCCAACACAATGCTCCCACCTCCAGATCTCAACTATTCCCTTTACCGGACACACCCTCTTCTCCCTACAACCCTCACCCCTCAGCATCTCCCAGTAAATTGTAACCCTCCTCAGGTCTCATCCCCGAAACCCCAGGACTCCATCCTGAACCCCACCCCAACATGACATACGGTTAAACCTTCTGTGTGCTTCCCCAGCTCCTTGCTTTTCTCCCATCGTTTATATATGGTAGCCCTTAGGCTCTGGCACTAAAATGCCTTGGTTCAAAGCCCCACCCCACCACTTAGTAGCTAGGGGCCTTCAGCAAATTGAACTTACTGAGGTTTGGTTTCTTCAGTGGTAATGAGGTATCTACCGCGCTGTCTTATAAGTTAAACGAATTCATCTGAGATTAAATGAATTCATGTATGTAAGGACATGTGATAAAAACTCCATGTGAACTCTATGTGAGAAACAGAAGTGTGTGCTATTCTTTCTGTACTTCCTCACTATGTGATTGCTGAACTGTCCATGGTAGGGGCAGGGAGGGGACAGTCCCTTCAGGGGCAGACACTGCATCCAAGTTTGCTGAGTGGATGGTAGCCCCTCTGTGCTCTTTCCACTGTCCCACACCGTCTCAAAGTGGTTGCCATGCCTACAGGGTAGAAAGTCTCAGACAACTTGTTCTAGTGGGAATTATTAAGCAACACCAGTGCAAGCAGGAAATTCTTCCCTATTTCTAACTAAAGAAGCAAATGAAAGAAGACACACAAATGGTCAGTAAACACGTGAGAAGATGCCCAGCATCATTAGCCTGAGGGAAATACCACTTAAAACCAAAACGAAATACCACTTCACAGCCACCAATAATTAAGTGGCTATAATTAAAAAAACAATTATAGGTGCTGGGAGAATGTGGAGCAGTTAGGACCCCATGCACTGCTGGTGGGAATGCAAAATAGCACAGTCAACTGTTGGAAAACGCAGTTCCTCAAAAAGTGAAATAGGGTTGCCCTAGGACCCAGCAATTCCACTCCTAGTGCTGTATGGTTATTCCACATTTTGTTTGTCCATTTATCAGTTGATGGGCATTCGGGCTGATAGTACTTTCTGGCTATTATGAATAATGATGTGTGAACATGCATGCACAAGGTTTTGTGTGGATATATGTTTTCATTTCTTTTTTGGAGTGATGAAGAAAAATGTCCTGGAATTGGATAGTTGTGATGTTTGCACAACTGTAACCATACTGAACTGTACATTTTGAGTGAATTGTTTGGTATGTGAATTCTACCTCCAAAACAAAAGATGTGATTGAAACAACAGTAAGCTCATACATGTCTGAGCACTTGCGATGGGCCTCATGGCACGCTAAACAGCTTTTGTAGATTCACTCATGGTCTGTAATTTCAAATAACAAAGCCAGAGGAGGTAAGAGAAGGCTTAAAAAGACGAGTCCTGTAAGGAGCCTGCCCAGCCTGGGCACAGAGCGGATGCTCAACAGATCTCTCTGCCTAGTCGGGTGACTCACTGAGATGTGCCCCAACAGAACTGTTAGTAACAAAGCCGTGGGGGGAGGGCCTGGAGCTGGAGCCGAAGAGGCCTGTTAACTCTGGACTTGGATTGTCCGAGGTTTCAGTCTGCCTCCACTTACACAAGTGTCTTCGCCTCAACGGCCTCAAACTTCACTGGCCTAATGAGGGTAATGACAGTACCAACCTCGGAGAATTGCTGTTAGAATTACGTGAGCTCATTCTACGGAGAGCTCTTAGAACTCCCCTGGCCCGTGGTAATCTCTCCATAGGCACAGCGGCCGCTATCATCGGCTGGAGCACCGCAGACGAGGTGAGGGCCCTGCGGGAAGGCACGGGAGGGGGCGGCAGGCGCGCAGCCAATGACCCCGGGGTCGGTCGACCCGCGGAGTGACGCTCTCACACGAGTTTCGCGCGTGTAAATGAACTGGCAAGGGGGGCGAGGGGGCGTGACTTGCCCCAACTCCGCTGCGCAAGGTCGTGTCGAAGATTCCAGCCCGAATAAGACCTGGGGAGCCCGAGGGCCGGGCGGGATTGAGGGTCGCGGAGCTTAGGGGCAGGAGGAGGGAGAGGGAGGAGCGCGGGTCCGCGGGGCGGAGCTGGGGGAGGTCCGTCGGGAGGGAAAGGCCTGTCCGGAGAGAGGGAAGCGGGAGAGA